AATTAATACGACAATTAAATGCATCTATTTTTAATGGTGGTATGGTTGCCATTTTTTTTATCTGAATCAATAATTTGGTTCGGAACTAAAAAACTAGCATTTCATCTTGATAAAGTAGTAAGGGAAATTTCAAAGTCTAAAATATTACTTGGTAATCCAAATTTAGAAGGCAGTAACTCTAAAACTACTAATTCTAATATTGAGACTTTTTTAGTTATAAATAACTCAGTAGCATCAAATAAAATGAATATATCACACGTACTTCAATATTTTAATGCATTGGTTATTCTTATACCAAAACTTATCAATTTCCTTCTTAATGCTCTAAACTCTCTTAGTACTTATGGTTATTTGCTTTTCTGCTTCACAGAAATAGAGAAAGGTCTTTGATCATAACAAAATAAGCAAGCTTATACTATTTAGATATTCATCAAGTTATATAAATAATAGAGTATATAAAAAAAATCTAGTTGAGTATGATGTAGTTTACTCATTTACAATCATACATTTAAGAGATTAATTATTTTAAATAAATACAATGTTACTGCTCTTGCTGGATTCGGTGCTATTAACAAAATAAACCCAACCGTAACACCAGGAGACACATTAAGTTACACTAGTTAGTTTATTAGTAGTTGTTATTACTATTCTAATTAGTGGTTTTGAGTACTGTGAATCATTTTGGTGCTTCTTTATTCTGATTCTGTTTAAATAGTTTCCGATTCTATTCTATTTTTTACAATAACTATTTCTTAGATAGAGTTATTTTTAATAAAACTGCATTTGTATAATTATTTTTCATTAATAATACTGGTGAATAAAAGAGCTGGATAAAACTGTTTATATAAGAAATACATAAATAAAAGATTGAGAGAGGCTAGCTAAAATTAAAAGAATTATAGATTTATATTTGTAAACAAACAAAATTAATACCAATTTTAATACTAATTAAAATAACAAAATTAGATAACATGATTTATTTAGAACATATTATTTAGTGATAATAATACTTGGAGCTTTAAGTAATGTCACAGACTTAACTATTAATTTCCTTTTTTATGATTCTGTTTATTGGAGAGAATTTATTATAGTTATTTTGTTCTTATAAGCTGATGCAATATTCGAATCCTGACCAATTGGCTATAATTCAGAGAGATTATATCAAATATTATTAAGAGATTCTATTCACAACTGTATGTGTATATTGAAATAAAACAGGCACTTGAAGTTGAAGCAAAAATTTTTTGTTATAACTTCTACAAATTTATTAATAATTAGATAGGAATAGAACATTTTTCAACATATTTAGTATCAATGAATTTAAAATAATTAAGGGTATATTATAAACTCATAAAAGATCACTCTATGGTGATCAATCTTGAGGATTTAGATTTAGATTTAACTTTAAGAATCTAATGAAATGGCAAGGATTTAGTCTGCAATTTAACTGTATGAGCATCCATGGAACAGCAAAAGAAATAGTCTTTAAATAGTATTAATTAAAACAAAAATTTGAACTTCTATTTAAAAATATAACTTCTAATTTTATGATTCATTAATTGACTTTAAGAAAAGACGGTTATAAATTATTAATCTCTAAAATGAAAAATAATTGTTACAATTATCACTATAATA